TCTCACAACTTTGCCTGTGGCGTAGAAAATTTGACCAATACATCTGGTCACTACTACAAAGAACTTATAAACCAACAATTAAGCATATGAGACTTTTGCACCTAATAACGAATTTCCTCCCCTTTTGCAAAAGGGGGAAAATAGTTAAAGAGATTCATTTAGTTGTCTTTTTCGGGGTACTTACTGGGAAAATTTGGTTCAAATAGCTTCCATGATCCTCTTCTTTTCATTGAATATTATCCGGATGTTAGCCATTAGTTGCATAGAGTCGTGCTTGTTCAGCCCAGGCATCGCTCTATGTCTTAATCAGCTCTTCGCTGGCTTTTGGGCACTTTTTTTAAAGAGGTTAATCACAGTTTCTTCTGGCAAATAGAAGACGAAGAACAATGCGACAGTAGACTAGTTCCGCTTGTAGTTACATAGACTGGAATGGTGCGTGATATAGAAGTTCCCTCTCGTGCGTTTCAGGGCCTGAAACGCACGTTTATGCATGTCTCAGGTCTTCCCCCACCATATTTTGATTAAAAAACAAATTATATTTCCTGATTTTGTTCCAGCGCCATTGAATGTGTTGCAGGTCGATGTAGGATGCGGCGTGTTTGTCTCCACAGTTGCCATAGCAGGGGGGCAAGTCCATCTTTGCATCTTTCTCACTCTTATTGGAGTTTCTATGGATCTGGCGTTTGCAGATGTGACCAAAAGCGTCTGGCTGTTGTAGCTCTGTATCTTTGTGTTCGTTGTTTGTTTTGAATCTTCACATGGGTGATTGAAGTTCATGTTTTGATTCCATATGGTTGATTGATCGAAATACTGCCGGCGAGTCGGATACGATCGCACGTTTTCTTGCAAGTGACTTTGAAATTTTGAAATGCTTGCAGAGGAGGAACTAGGATTTTCTCGAGAAGTCGACAAACTTTGTCAACTTTTTTTAGGTCAACCAAATTGTATTTTTGAGCTCTCCCAAAGCACTACAAAGACACTTTTTGGCCGAAAAGATTGCGCGGCAGGCAAAATTTTGAAAAAAACAGGCCAAAAAACAGTATATAAAAAGAGCATATATTAGCAGAAAATTTTTAGTGTCCGTCACCAAAAATGAATGACTCGAAAAAGTACAAAAGGGGGACCCTTTAAGTCGGCAGGGGGTCGAATCCCTGGGGGGAGACGTCCCCCCCCCCGAAATCCGCCCCTGCCCCTTTGTACTATTTTGAGATAACCATTTTAGGCTGACTAACCCTAGATTTTTTCTGAAGCATTTGAGGCCAAACTGTATTTTGTGACATCCCGCACCGATCGCCTATGGTTTCTAATCAATTATAAAGGATTCCCGAGAGAAAAATATTCCATTATAATCCATTAAAGATGTAAATATACAGGCCTCAAAATGGATTCTATTGCCATTATAATCGATTATTTTGGGAAAAAAAACATTATAATTCATTATAATCGATTATAATTCATTCTTTTGGCAAGAAAAATGATTGTTTTTGCCAGGATAATCCGTTATAATAGATTATTTTTGAAACAATGATCCATTTTAATTGATAAAAATCCAATTCATTTTTAGCCTTAAATTCGATTATTATTGCAGCAAATTTTAAAAAAGCATAAATTAGCTATTGTACGTCTGCACGCTCACCTCTTTAATTCAAATTTAGACGAAAAATCAAAAAGATCAAACCGGTTTCTCACGAAACTGAGATACTTTTTCTGAAATTTTTCAAGTTCGCTCGAATCACAACTAAAAGGATTTTAGTATGATATATCACTAAACCCCTTCCGTTGATTACTTGTGGTACCAGATTTCTGCGTGGAAAACAAAAAAAAAGAAAAAAACACACCCTAATAAGAAGTTCCCCCGCCTTTTTTAAATGGTCTTAATAAAAATAACGGATGAACTTTTATACAATTTTTTTTGAATTTGAGTTTTCATCATTATCTTTTTTTTCACTATTTCTTAACGCTTGCATCAAAACATTGTGGTCATTTTTTTCTGAGCTACTCATTAACTAGTCATGCTTGGTGCAACTGTAGACAAAGTGTTGAAAAATAGCTAAATCTATAATGCAAGTTTTAAGAACTGCTGGTGTTTCGTTTGAACCGAATATTTGGACACTTTGGAGGAATTTTGTTGCAAAATTCACATTAACAAAAGTAGGCGGAAACTGATGGTTGTCTAAATTCAGGTTTAAAAAATATTCTTGACAATGGTTGAAAAAGTCAAACAATTTTATTGAAAAAATTGTTACAAAGATTTCCACGGTAAAGTGTTTTTTTTTGTTCACAAGTAAAAGTGAATTGAATCAATTGTTACAGAATATCAAAACCATTTAACTGTGATTTAAGAAAAAAAAACATTAAGAAAATAGTCTAAGGTTTTTATCAGTGTAATTTTTATCATTAGTGTTATCGGTTTTTCCGCGTTACTTTTTTCTTCAATCCAATTGCTGAATATTCTCATTTGAGAGAAGTAAAAATCTTATCATACGATGACATACGTTTTTTAAAACGACAACCAGGCTAAAAATGCCAAGGAACGATAGCATATTATTTTTTTCGATCAAGTTAGGGTATTGCAGAGAACGCTTGTATGGTATCAACTGTGGGAACATATGGAAAACTTCAGAAGTGTAACAATATCTCATAGAATCTGTTGAGTTAATACCACGAGGAACTGGTCTTAACTTTTTGGCTACTCAGGTTTAAACGTACACAGCGAGGAGCGGACGAAGTTAAGTCTAGGTTTGCGGGAAAAAGTTTCGTTCAAGTTCTATTTTGACTTTATTGATTTAAACGATTCATTGATAAAACTCAAAGAAAACGTGCGGAATAGTCCTTCTACTCAAAAATTGTTTTTTTTGTTATAAAGCTTTTTTTGGCAATCGATAAGCGCCGTTGGAACATTCGGTGCTTCTTGTATAGTAACCGGCTCACCTTGTTATCTTGAAGTTAAACTGAACTTCCTCCCACAGCAGCTCCCCCCCCCCCCCCCAACCCCATTACGGTTTGACAAAAAGGAAGCCATAAAATTCTCATACACTTTCAAATATTTCCAGACATATGAAAAAATGGTATGCAATTTTTATGACAAATATTTGTTTCAAAAATGAAATTTGTGTGGCTAGCATATTCAATTGTTTTTAATTATAGAAGTATATTTTACCATAAAGGAAAAGATCACAGTCTGTTTTTTAAAACATTTGAAATCTTAAGGAAAAATTGCATTATGAGATTAGTCATGAAGAAAAAACTAGCAGTTTTTTTGCGTCGATCAAAATTTATGCGTGATTTTTAATTACACTGAGTGTCTGGTTCCAATCAGGAATCATTTTTTGTGAAATTTTTGAGCAACTAGGTTATAAACAGAAAAATATACTTTATTGAAAAAGGTTTAATCAGATATGTTTACTCTGGTTATAATCAGAAACAAAGTTTTTTTGAAAATTTTGAGCAACTACGTTATAGACAGAAAAATAAAATTATTGAATAATGTTTAATCAGAAACGTTTACTCTAGTTCTAATCAGAAATAAAGTTTTTTTTGAAGTTTATGAGAAAATTACGTTATAGACAGAAAAAAATATATTTTATTGAAGAATGTTTAATCAGAAACTTTTACTCTGGTTCTAATCAGAAAAAAAATTTTTTTTTGAAGTTTTTGAGCAACTACGTTATAGACAGAAAAATATATTTTCAATTGAATAATGTTTAATCAGAAATGTTTACTCTGGTTCTAATCAGAAATAAAGTTTTTTTTGAAGTTTTTGAGAAAATTACGTTATAGACAGAAAAAAATATATTTTATTGAAAAAATGAAAAATGTTTAATCAGAAATGTTTACTCTGGTTCTAATCAGAAAGAAAGTTTTTTTTTAAGTTTTTGAGCAACTGCGTTATAGACAGAAAAATAAAATTTATTGAATAATTTTTAGTCAGAAATGTTTACTTTGGTTCTAATCAGAAATAAAGTTTTGTTTGAAGTTTTTGAGAAAATTACGTTATAGACAGAAAAAAAACATTTTATTGAAAAATGTTTAATCAGAAATGTTTACTCTGGTTCTAATCTGAAAGAAAGTTTTTTTTTTGAAGTTTTTGAGCAACTGCGTTATAGACAGAAAAATAAAATTTATTGAATAATGTTTAGTCAGAAATGTTTACTTTGGTTCTAATCAGAAATAAAGTTTTTTTTTGAAGTTTTTGAGCAACTACGTTATAGACAGAAAAATATATTTTCAATTGAATAATGTTTAATCAGAAATGTTTACTCTGGTTCTAATCAGAAATAAAGTTTTTTTTGAAGTTTATGAGAAAATTACGTTATAGACAGAAAAAAATATATTTTATTGAAAAATGTTTAATCAGAAATGTTTACTCTGGTTCTAATCAGAAAGAAAGTTTTTTTTTGAAGTTTTTGAGCAACTGCGTTATAGACAGAAAAATATATTTTATTGAAGAATGTTTAATCAGAAATGTTTACTCTGGCTCTAATCATAAATAAAGTTTTTTTGAAGTTTTTGAGCAACTACCTTATAGACAGAAAAATAAAATTTATTGAATAATAATTTATTCAGAAATGTTTACTCTGGTTCTAATCAGAAATAAAGTTTCGTTTAAAGTTTTTGAGAAGATTACGTTATAGACAGAAAAAAAAGTATTTTACTGAAAAATGTTTAATTGAAAGCAGAAATGATTTTGCGACGGAACAATACAATTTTTTTGAGGCCTGTGGTTAATATATATATATATATATATTTTTTGGAATTTCTAGGAATTATATAGCAATTTTCATAGGCAAAGTGTATGGAATTATATGATTTACATTTTACTGTATTGATGATCAACACGGGCTACAAATGAAATTTTTTTCAGAGAAAATCTAGCAAACAATTTTATTTTTAAATTTTATAATGCAATAACCGTGAAATTGAAAAGCAGTTTTTAAATTATAAATGTGAAATTGAAAAGCTGTTTTTATTCTTCTTAATACATGTTGTATTGTGTTTAGATCTGATTTCGGATAGTATGGTGTTGGCGCTGTACAATGACTCATCCCTGTTCCAGTCCATGCGTCTGCAGATGAAGATCCGCTGCAAGCTAGCCCTCACCCTCTTCCCCATGGACATACAACACTGCGACATATGTCTAGAGAGCTGTGAGTAGTAGTAGCCACTCTACATATCTTTGATACAGATTTGGAGCATCGCTAACTAAACCTATTCACTGCAAAAGAGGGCAAATTGGTGAACAAGATACAAATTTCATAATACGTTTTACTGTTGAGTTAGTTGGTTATAGGGTTGGCATTTATTTTCTAGGTACCAAGGTGGGGGTAGTTAACAAGATCCCAGTTTTGTTATTAATAGGGTTAAATATTATAGAATATTTAACCAAAAAAAATCTAACTAAATCAGAGCTAAGTTAAAATGTGTGTTAAAAAGTCTAACTTGAGTTCTAATGTAAGATTCAACAAAATGACCAAGCATTAGATATTCTAGTCGAAGAACTGGGCAGATACAGGTACTTTATTAACAGAATCAACTAAATGCGTAGGGATTTTCTCGAGTGGGTTGGGGGCTGATTTTCAAAAAGGTTGGAAATTTTTGTCGTTCTTGTTTTTAAGTCAAAGACCCTATTTTTTTTAATTTTTTTTTTCAAAAATTTGGCTGCGGCACAGAAAATTTGGCTAAAAACGTTTTTGTGCAATTTTTGGAAGATTTTGACCGATAAAACTTGTGTCCCCTTTAAAGTTATTATATTTTAAATTATTAATTTATTTAATTGCAGTTCTTGCGAATCGCAGAGGAGCTATCAGTAGGCCTTAACAGTCCTGTCGAGGATAGTCCATTTGTATTATCTCCCCACATTCCACACAGTGTTATTTTTGGCGCCTGCAGAAAAATTTTCCTAGTATATTGCCTTTTGCGTGGTCAAGGGGCGGAAATCCTAAAAAGATTGCGTCGACTCCCCCCTCCCCATTCTCCAAAATCCGCTACTGTAAACAATTCCGCTACTGCCCATTCACAACAAACAAAGAGTGAACTACAACATACTCACCCTTGTTAAATGGTAAAAATTTATTTTTGGCATACTATATTTCAGTTTTTGAAGGCTCCTAGAACATTTGTCATTTTAAAAGTAGTTTTTTTTCTCTTAACCCGTGTTACTGTCTATAAACCGCACATATGCATGCAATATCAAACAAAGAGCCTTTAGAAGAAATATTTAATCATACAAACTTCAAACGTTTTTCAGAACCAGTTTAAAACTTTTTTGAATTTTTTTGCCAATTTTGAAGTTCTTAAATTGATATACTTGTCGCCAGATGGCTCACAATCTTTATAAATTTTGTTTTTGATCTTTCATTTTACGAACATTTCGATATTATTTGACTTACAACAATTAAACCTTTGACTTTTGAAGCCTAATCTTGACATAAAACTTTTGGGAAAAGCTCGTTGAGAAATGGTACCGCCATATTTCCTGATAGAAATCGAGGATTAATGTTATGACTGGTTAAACTGTCTTGGGTTGCAACTTCTAGGCCAGGTCATAAACATGAAGGAAGATTAAGATCCAAAGGCAAATTAATTTCAGCTAGCTTAAGCAACTATGTAAAAAAAATGCACGAATATTGTTAACCTTTCTCAAGTTATTCGGAATAATATGATACGATTTTTAGGCCATCAAAAAAAGTTTCATGATTGAAATGATTTCACTGAACTAAAATCTAATTTTTTTATTACTTTAAGATCCAGGTGCTTAATCATGTCGAGGCATTCCCCCACAATAAATGCGACTGCTCTCAAAACTATGATCCTGTTTTTAGTTTTCAGTAACAACATTATGTCAAAAAGTATTTAAATTGTGCCTCAGCGAGTGAGAAAACGTCCTTATTAAAAGCTCATTTTTTGAAAGGTTTTACCCGCATCCAAGTTTAGGCGTAAATAATCGATTATAACGGATTATTATGATGATTTTTTGACAATTATAATCGATTATAATTACCAAAATTAGGTCCTTAAGGGATTTATAATCGATTATAATCGTGATATTTTCCAAGAGATTATAATCTCTTATAATCGATTATAATTGATTACAGTTCTTACTAAAAACCCTTAAAATCAATTATAATCGATTATAATCGATTATAATCTCTCATTTTGCCGAAATTTTGCGATATTCGAATTATATTTTATGGGTTATTAATTTTGTTTCAGTAACAAAATCTCTAAAAGAGAGATCTCCTGAACACTTTGGTTCATCTGAACACAAAATTTTACCACGAAACAAAGGTTTCATAGAGACCCTTTCATATGAAGGGAAAGGTTCTCGCGGTATATGAAAAATAAATTTTCAGAATCAATCATGAGACTGAATCAATTTGCTGATGTTTTGGTGTTTAAAAAAGCTTAAAATATGCATCACAAAATAACCCTAATGGGGAAGAAATGAAAAAAAAACTTATAATTTTGAATCAATTGGAAAACTTTTAAAATATTTTTCTCATTTTTTATAGAAACCAATGTCCACAAAAAGCATAAAATATAAGCAATTTAGATGCACCTTCGAAGACAAAAATGGACAAACAAAAGGGATTATAATCAATTCTAATCGATTATAATGGATTTTTGTGCAAAACTAATGAAATAGAAATTTGAATAAAAATAATGGATTATAATCAATTATAATCGATTATAATTTTATCGAAAAATAGACGAATAAAAAATCAATTATAATCGATTATAATTGATTATAATTGATTACAATTTGAATAAAATCGATTGTTTCTCAATTTTAGTGAGACTGGTACTAAAATCGTAATATAATCGATTATTAACGCTTGAAACTGGATGCGGGTATTTATAACCTGGGTCTTCTTGGGTTCCTTTATAAAGACATTTGAAAAATGAACCCAACAAGACCTAGTTATAATTCAAATGGTCTTTAAAATGAAATGAGCTTTGGGCAAGGACGTTTTTGTTTTTGCTGAGGCACATTAAAAGAATTTTCTTTAATTTGTATACATTTTTTGACATAATGCTGCCAAAAATTAAAAAATTTCAATTTTTGAGAGCAATTGCATCATGTTTTTGTTACATTGGGATCATTGCAATGGCCCTCCCCTCATATTTTGCCTTCAAATATTCCCAAAAAATCCCCCTTTTGGTGTTAATTTTTGGCAGCAGTATCTCGCCGATGAACACCTAAACTTCTCTAATGACGCATTTGGCGACTCATAAAACGCATTTGGCAACAAATAACACCAAATTTTAGAAGGTAACGCCAAACTGCCATCGATGCAGTAATGTTTGCAAATTTTTGGCAATTGTGGGGTGTCGGCAGAGCTGAAGTGATTGGCCTAAAAAGCTCGACAAAATTTAAAAAATATATCAAAAAAATCCTGAGCACGCCACTGCTACTAGAATAAAATTAATTTGAAGAAAGATTTGAAGAATGTAGGCATGGACTAGATCGTAGCCCCTGGGTATTACAACTCTTAAATCAACTAATACGAATTTTATTCTTTTTAGTTTAATACAATTGTTTTCACTTTGATCCAATTAGGTTCAGTGAGTTCAGAAATGTTACTTGAACTCACTGTTTTTTATGTTACTTGAAATTGAACGTTGCATCGTTTTTTCTATGTTAGTTGAAGTTCATTACATCAGTAAAAATGATCTTTGTGACCTTTCCTGGTGGCATAGGTTTCTTTTAGACTAAAAGAAGAACATGAAGTTTGTTCACGTCCTTTAGATATGAAATACTTGAAAACTATATGTTTTTTTTCTGGCTCTGTGTATCAATTTCATGCAGTTTTACAGCGAAACTTCATGCAAATGGACCGCGCCCAGAAAGAAGATAACGTTTTGAACAGTAAGTCAAAGCATAAATAAACTAAACACAAGTTACCCGAAAACTAGACTTTTATATCACTTTTGAAGAGCAACGTAGATCATCGATACCTCGCTTTCTTAGAATTTTTTACTGAGCTGCTGAGCTGATCTATTATTACCTTTTATTCCAATAATTAGTAAATGAATGAACTATAAGAAATTGCATAGAGATGAATTGATTTCTGCTTTGTTTGTGTTATTTGTAGACCAGAAAAACGATTCGAAATTGCAATTATTTTTAAAATTAGTGGACAAATATTTTGCACTGTTCGTGTTGTGTTGCAGACCAGTACCACACAGGTGATCTGAAGTTGCGGTGGTGGGAGGGGAAGTTGGAGATGGACAAGGAGAAGATGAGGAAGTACGGCGTGGCCAACTTCCACATAGACTACTCCTCATTCGCCAACACCACCATCACCGAGGACTTCGGATTCGGTCAGTACAACCACAACCCCAACCCTCCTCCATGTTCGCACATACACATACATACCCATTTTTCGACTTTTCCACACTTGAGGACGTGGCTGGAGAAAACATCGATCTACGTTACAATGTCGAACTTTCAGTGCATATAACTTTTTGTTCCGACTTTCTTAACGAAAGTTACGAAATATTTGTGCTCGGGGTTGTTTTTTTTCTTCCGACAAATTTCGACTTTTTAACCAGCCCTTTTTGACGGAATTTTGTTATATCATTCAAAATGTATTGTAGTCCTGAGCTTAAATTTGAAAAGATATTTCACCTGTGATCATTTTCGTAAAGTTATGAGGGTTTAAAGATTGCCATTTTGGCCATTTTGACCAATTTGAGACAATTAACGCGCGATATAATTCGCGCTATTAACGCGTAAGTGGAGATTTAATCCGTCTTATACATCGTTCCAAATGCTTAAATTTAAACAAGACTGCTCGTATCAGGGCGAAGCCCTGAATGTTCCGACTGCCTTTTAAGGTTTATGGAGCAGTAATAACATTAAAAAAAAATGAAACAAAATAAAATGAATTTTTTTTTCTAAAATTTGACTTTTTTAAATGAAGATCATCCCCCACACGCCATATAAAGAACAAAAGGATAGATTTCGTTCCTTGTAACAAATCAATTATGGCAAATAAGCTTCGTTCAACCAATTTGGAACGATGTATAAGACGGATTAAATCTCCACTTACGCGTTAATAGCGCGAATTATATCGCGCGTTAATTGTCTCAAATTGGCCAAAATGGCCAAAATGGCAATCTTTAAACCCTCATAACTTTACGAAAATGATCACAGGTGAAATATCTTTTCAAATTTAAGCTCAGGACTACAATACCTTTTAAATGATATAAAAAAATTCCGTCAAAAATGGCTAGTTAAAAAGTCGAAATTTGTCTGAAGAAAAAAAAACCCACCCGAGCACAAATATTCCGTTACTTTCGTATCGAAAGTCGGAACAAAAAAAAATTCAGCTGTGATCCTTTTTTGTAAAAATATGGGTGTAAGCGGAGATTTAATCCGTTCTAAAAATTGTTCCAATATGGTTGAAGGAAGTTTATTTGCCACAAATGATTTGTTTCTATGAACAAAAGTTATCACTTTGTTCTTAATATGGACTGTGGGTGGATGATTTTCAAAAAAGTCTCAAATTTAATTAAAAAACCGTTTTATTTCAATACATTTACTTTTTTCAGGTTATTATTTTCCATAGACCTTAAAAGGCTGTCGGAACATTCAGGGCCTCGCTCTGATACGAGCAGTCTTGTTTGATGTTGCTTTGATCTCACAGTTTTAAAAATATATATATTTGAGAAACTGAATAAATAAAAAGTTACCAAAAAATATCAAACATGTACTGAAAATAAAGTAATAAATTTGTTTTGGTGTTTTTAACAAACTAAAGAAAACCAAGACAACCAAAATTGACGAAAACAATTGATTGTAAAATAAAACTTCTCTATTTTTGTCAACTTGTCTTGCCTCATTATTCTGTAGTTTGTTACAAATACCAGTAACTTTTGATTATCACATTCTGAATACAAATTTGGTGATCTTTGCAAACTTTTAGTTTTTCAGTTTTACAAAAAAAATAACTCAAAACTAATAGACTTCCGTTGTGCGACTTCAAAGGTGAAAAAATTGCAAAGGCTTAAAAATTCGACATTCTGACGTTCCTAATTACCTCCCACCATCCAAGTTTACTCAACTCCTAAGCATGCTGCGGGGGCGGGGGGAGGGAAGGTAAACTTGGGGGAAATTTTTTACACACAACTCTCTTGTCTACCCTTGTTTTGAGTTCGTGGCATCATTCATTCTCATAAGTCGTGAGTTGAGAAATTAGACATTATCAATACAGCTGAATATAGTTAATCAGAAAAATGATTTTCAAACGCATTATTTTTAATAAGCAAGACTGCTCGTATATCAGAGCAAAGCCCTGAATGTTCCGATTGTCCCTTAGTTCGTATAAAATAGTTTTTTGGTGAAAATATTGAATAATTATACATTTTGGACAATATCAAAGTGTAAAATTTTGAGTCGTACGAAATTGAAACGACCAATTTGCTAGCTTCAATCCAATATGGAACGATTTTGTTATACGCGATAACTCGTCACGCATAAATAGTTCACGTTACGCTCTCAGTCAGCATTAAGAATAAACTCTTCAAAGCGCGCAAAATTTAGTACAGAACATGGCAATTTTGGCAATTTTTAAACCCCCTGAACTTAACAAAAGATAATCGGAGGTGAAATATATTTTTTTCTTTTGAACTCAGGAAGTTGACATCTTCAATGGAGTATAAAAATATTTGTTGAAAATTATTATCTCGATCGGTGAAAAATGACTGAAGGAAACCACACCAAGCTTAAATATGCCGTTTTCTCCGAATGTTGACAATGAATTTTTTCCGAAGAACAGATTTAAAAAATTTTAAGATCTCTGTTGAAGATTTTTTGGTCAAAGATTAGTGTAAGCAAACCGACTGTTCTCGCCAGAGTTCAAAAATGAAATTTAACCGTACAATATCTAACTGAAATTCAGCCTGAAATTCAGTATTACAATCGGATCTACTTAATCATCTCCCCCCCCCCTATGGTACCTAAGAATCTCCCCTATAAATAATTACAGTAAATTAGCACTGAGCTTTCTATTGAGAATTATAATTTTTCTGCATTCTGATTGGTCGAAAAATCGACCATTTTGATCTACTTAACAATCCCCCCCCCCCCCCTCCTGTGTTGAAAGGGGTGGAGATTGTTAAGTAGATCCTTACAATCTCTTAACTTGTTTCTAATTTTTGAGGTTTGTTTATCAAACCATTCGGCTCTATCTCATATTAGACCCCTGCGGACACTTTACAACCCCAAGAGACAGGGAAAACCTATCAGTAAAAAATCTATCATTCGATCCGGCGAAGTCCTTTATTTTTGATGAAGTGACTGCCCGAAAAATATGGAAGCCATTCTGAATTCAAAATTCTAGAATTAACCGTCAGAATTATCCGCCGACTTTTCTTTGGTTAAAAGAGGTTGGTTTTGCTAAACTTTTGGCCAAGCGTTCATGCGGACAACGCCTTTGAACTTTTCTTCGGTACATTTTAGGCTTCAACTACACGACTCTGTGTGTGCAAGTGCGCTTGGTGCGCAAATTGAGCATCTTCCTCATCACTATGTACCTGCCCTCCATCTCACTTGTAGCCCTTTCCTGGGTGGGGTTCTGGATCGACAAGAGGGCAGTGCCGGCCAGAGCCTCACTCACCATCACAACTATTCTGGCTCAGATTACACTCATCACCGGAACTGCCAATCAGTGAGTATAATAAGATAATGATTAATAATAAATTAATTTCCAAGTACTTTTACACTTAATACACTTGGGAGGATATCAATACAGTTAGCAGGGACGGATTTAAAGAGGGGAGATCTTGCAGCTTTTTGAAAATCTGCCCCCCCCCCCCTCCTCGATAAAATCTTAGATCCGCCCCCTGACAGTTAGTATCCACAAACCCAACTCATTAAGAGTTTAAAACTTATGAGTGTAATTTCATAATCTTGCGTAGTCAGCGAAGTCAACTTGTCAACTTTGGGGTTTAGGGAGAGCTTCCCAGTAAGACTTAATATATTTTTTTGTTAGTTGGTATGTCAGTTTACCAGCAACTGTTCAAAAGTAGGACTCGTTAATTCTTGTTGATATTGAATTTCGAATCTTCTTTTTAGCATGGTTTTGCTCTACTATAGTGTTTTCTGACGGCGCGCCTAGCTCGCTCAGAATAAATCTATATTGCTGAAGATTTTTTTTTCAAAAAACCAAAACAAATTTTCACTTTCTAAAAACAAAAAGAGTTTGGCTTACAGTCTTGGATTACTGTAGATTTCTCAAAAGAAAGTGCATCCACTTAACAATTGCCCCCCTTTCAAGAAAGGGTGGGGGGGGGGGGGCAATTGTTAAGCAGATTGAGTTGCCGAATTTTCGATCAATCAGATTGCAGCAAAACTCGAATTTTAAACACAACGTTCTAGCGCGATTTACTGCTTTTATTTATAGGGGTGGGAAAAATTTTAGTAGATACCAAAGGGAGGGCGATTGTTAAATAGATCCAACAAGGTCGCAGTCTCCTCCCACTTTCAGAAAATGCCACTGCATGGGACTGTGGAAGAATAATGTACAATATTGAAGACCGAATCCTCAACATTTTTTCTAGTATTGCATGTTTTTTATTCAAAGTTACATTAGTGATCAAAATCAGTTACTTTTTTTAGACTTTTTTAGTGTAACGAAACTAATTGAGCCACATGTGTAGACGATAGGCATATCGTTTTATGCTAAAATAGAGTGAAAACTCCGAATCAACTTGAATTTAGACCACTTTGAAGGAATTTTCATGTTCTAATGATGTTGTGATTTTGCCCTTGAGTGTATTTTCAAAAGAAAAATCAAGCGCTGTAAGTGTGCAAAAACAGCGCGCAGTTCCAATGAGACTGCATTTTAGCTTGTAATTTTTGCTTTGAGATTGCAACTTTTGCATTTAATGAGATTGTGATTTTTGCATTTTAGCAGTTTTGAACTAAGCCAGCGTAAGCAGTTTCGAACTAAACCTAAATTTTAACTAAACCAGCGCTTAGTGCTTCAAAATTAGTTTTAATTTTGTTGCAAGTGCGGGCTTACTTTTTTCAATGCGTTAACGTTGCTCTATTGCTGATTTCCAAAACTTACAAAAAAACAGCAAAACACTGAAATATAAATTGAAACAAAACAAGACTGTTCGTATCAGGGCGAAGCCCTGAATGTTACGAGTGCCTTTTAAGGGGAGGCGGAGCAATAAGCAGAATGGTCTAAGAGCAGAATGGGTCCAAGGGCAGAAAAACTGAAAAATTTTGACTTAAGCTGGTTTATACGGGCTAATTAATAAAACAATTATTAGAACCGTCAGAAAAAACCAAGAAAATGAATAAATTATGAATGAATTGAATAATTTCATTAAGTTTTTTGATTGAATTTTCAAAAAAAAATCTTGATGAAAATACTCAAATTATGCATAAAATGTTCGTTGTTCTGATATTGTTGACATTTCTGATAATTAATTTACCGATTAGCTTAAAAAGTTGATATTTTTCAGTTTTTCTGCTCTTGGACCCTTTCTGCTCTTAGACCAATCTGCTTATTGACTGGCCACCCTTTTAAGGTCTAAGAATATATTTCGCTCCTTTTAACAAAACAATTATGGAAATAAGCTTCTTTCAACCAATTTAGAACGGTTTCTAAGACAGATTAAATATGAGACTTTTTGAGAAAGTCATCCCGCCACACGTCATATAAAATACAAAGTGATAGATTTCGCTCCTATAACAAATCAATTATGGCAAATAAGCTTCCTTCAACCAATTTGGACCGATTACTAAGACGGATTAAATATCAGCATACGCGTTAATAGCGCGAAATATATCGCTCGTTAATTGTCCCAAATTGGCCAAAATGGCAATCTTTAAGCCCCCATAACTTTACCAAAAATGATCACAGGAGAAATATATTATCAAATTTAAGCTCAGGACAACAATACTTTTTGAATAATTTTTTAAATTTCCGTCAAAAATAGCTAGGTAAAAAGTCGAATTTTGTCTGAAAAAAAAAACCCACCCCGAGCAAAAATATTCCGTTACTTTCGTATCGAAAGTCGGAGCAACAAGACTGCTCATATCAGGGTGAAACAGGGCTTAGTAAATTGGGATTTACTTAACAATTCCCCCCCCCCCCCCCTTGGTATCTACTCAAGAATTGCCACCCCTATGAATATAGAGAGTAAATTAGCATTGAGCGTTCTATTGAGAATTAGAATTTTGCTGCGTTCTGATTGGTCGAAGATCCGTTATTTTAATCTACTTAACAATTGCCCCCTTTCTTAAAAGGGGACAACTGTTAAGTAGATCCGTAAGTTGAGGGATAAAGTGTCAATTAACTGAAACTTTTGTCAATTAATTGGATTGACAATCCTGGTTATGTCAATTAAACAACTAATTGTAATTAATTGGTTTCGTTCATGGCTTTTGCTACATCAGTCCTTGACCAAAATTCTTGGTTGACGTTCAGAAAAAGCTGCATTTCGAGACCGACTAATTCTCCACTTACGCGTTAGTAGCGCGATATATATCGCGCGTTAATTGTCCCAAAGTGGCAAAAATGGCAACCTTTAAACCCCCATAATTTTATGAAAAAACTATCACAGGTGAAATATCTTTTCAAATTTTAACTCAAGACAGCAATAGTTATCGAAACATTTTTAAAAACTTTGTCATAATTGGCTAGTTTAAAAGTCGAAATCTGTCTGAAGAAAAAAAACCACCTCGAGCACAAACATTCCGCTTCTTTCGTTACGAAAGTTGAAACAACAAAAATGCTCGTATCAGGGCAAAACCCTGAATGTTCCCACTACCTTCTAAAGTCTTAGGAAATTGATGAAGTTTTCATAAAATTTTTTTTTTAAACTGAGATTTTTTGGAAAATCATCGCCCCACACGTCATTAAGTACAAACTCATAGGTTTCGTTCCTCGTAACCAAGCAATTTTGGCAAATGAATTGCTTCAACCAATTTGGAACGATTTCTAAAACGGGTTGAATCTTTCGCTTACGCGTTTAATATAACGCGCGCAAATTTTCCCAAATTGGCCGAAATGACAATCTGTAAACCCCCAAAACTTTAGTAATCCCAGGTAAAATATCTGTTCAGATTAGAGCTCATGGCAAAAATACCTTTTGGATGATAAAAAACTCCGTCAAAAGGGCTAGTTAAAAAATTCAAAATTTGTCTGGAGAAAAAAACTACTCAAGCAGAAACATTCCGTCACTTTATTCGAGAGTTGGAACAACAATACTGTTTGCCTCAGAGCAAAATTCTGAAAATTCTTACTGCGATTTAGGGTCTATGCTCGCTAATCTCCAAAACTGATCCAAATTCGTTAAATTAATAAGAGATATTTCTCGGCAAATAACTCGGTCAATAAATTAATTTCGACATTATTTCTATTGATCTGAACATCATATAACATTTCTATCATCCGTCCGTTTTTGGTACAAATCGGCGCAAGCTAGCCACAAGAACCGGTCGGTAATGTCCTTGAGACAAATTGCTCTTTTTGGCGGTCAGTCTTAATCAAGGCTGAAACGAATTAGAACCAAAAAACAGTTAAAATAGGATGTAACCCCCGTTTTCACAAATATTAATACATGGGCAGGTGGGGGACTCGAACCTACGTCAACTGTTAACCTATATAATCGGCGTTAGCTTAAGCCACTCGGCCAGCTGTGCTTAATTTATATGCATCTATATCTTGTTTTATTCTATACTCTTGTTTTGCATTGCAACATCCTCCCCCCTGAAGAAGGAAGAACCGGAGCGAGCTTAACGGTCGGCCGCGTGACTTCACGGGGTCCTGACAAGGGTGGATCGGGCGCAACCGTCCTGTTCGTAGTTAAGCTTGACGATTCGGGCGAGAGGGTAGTACCCACGTGGACTATCGGGCTCAATCACCCACACGAGATCGTCTGTTTTAAGAGTGAAATCAGAATGAGTGTGCCACTTGACACGCTTATTCAGCGATGGAACATATTCTCGAAGCCAACGCGACCAAATCGCGTTAGCATATGACTGCGCTCGCACGTACCTTTTCTTGTGATCGAAGTGCTCCCCGGGTAAAAGCGAAGGAAAGCTTGTGGCATGTTGTCCAAGCAAAAAATGGTTTGGGGTTAACGCTTCTAACTCACGTGAATCGGTACTAAGGGGGTTGATTGGCCTCGAATTCAAAGCCTGCTCAACTAAGCAGAGTGTTGTTCCTAACACCTCTTCAGTGACTCGCCTACTGCCTAGGATATCGTACAGCACGCGCTTCACGCTTCGGACGAGGCGTTCCCAGGAGCCGCCATGATGGGGTGCGCCTGGCGGGTTAAATTTCCAAGTAACACCTTTATGTGCAAAAATGGTCGGAGCCATGCCATTCCAGCTCTTGATGCAGGCAAGTAATTCCTTTTCCGCACCAACGAAGTTCGTGCCATTATCCGACCAGATTGTGCTTGGCGTACCACGGCGCGCAACGAACCGTTCAATGCCCATGACACAGGAACTGGTGTCCAGAGACGGTACAATCTCAAGGTGTACAAACCTGGTGGTGAGGCAAGTAAAAAGAAATCCCCATCTTTTTTCAGTGCTTCTGCGAACCGGAACGTAAAGTGGTCCAAAGTAATCCACACCCGTATGATTGAAGGGTCGTTGCTTGTATCCGAGACGCTCGACAGGTAAATCGGACATAATCGGCTGCAT